ACTTCCCCACCTTCTTTTTTCGCCCCCTCCCCTTCCAGCTCCGGGCCCATAAAATTGCACTGGGTTAGATTTAAAGCATAGCACACATCTCAATGCATTTTTACTGGTAATATTAATTTGCATAGAGCTTCCAACTTTGAATTTTTAGCACCTCTTACAAAAATTTTCGGTAGCATGACTCTTTATTAGACGGCGGAGGGAGCCTCAAACCACTTCTTGCACTCACAGTTCCTTCATTTTTCACATTAATTAAATAGCAAGAAAGGCCATAAGGCCCCTTCATGAGAGGGGGCCCGGTGCAGTAAAAAAAAAATACAATTGAAACAAAAGCAAAAGGGGAGTAATATGGAATACAAATGTTAAGAGCAATATGGTTTTACTGTATAAGCTATAAACCTAACAAACTCACTAAATGAGCACCTGTAGGTTAGCAAGAAGTCTAGTTTCAGCGGCGTGGGCCTCAGGGGAGCCTCTTCTCTCGCCTGGTTCTCGAAGTGGAGTCTGGTGTCTAATGTGGTTACTGCTCTATGCAGCCCTCCTGCCGCAGCTGTGCCTCCCTGAAGGCGCCACGCTGGTGCTCCACCTCACCCTCCAGTCGTGTCTGCCGTCCCCGCAACACATTTAGTTCTGATAACATTAAAAAAGGAGCACTTCAGAAAGGCCCCATTCCAGGTAGATAAAACTGACACTGAACCATTTCCTTTCATTTATCTGTCCAACTCAACCTTTAAACCTACTCAAAAATATCTGCTTCAGTGACAACCCAGCCGTCTGACTCATGCAATAACTAGATAATACCTTTTCTGGTCGACTTTCAAGTCTTCGATGCTGGTGTAGGTGCCAATTAATCAATTTTATTGAATTATATATTATTATTATAATCAAAAAGAAGCGCTAAGCCACAAGGGCTACACAAGGGCTTCCTGCAGAGCAGGAAGGAATCGAGGGCATCAGGTGGCAAAAGGGAGGTGGATGAGTAATAGGTACGGATAACAGCGGAGCAGTGGATGGTGAAAGGGTAAAGGGCAGCAAGAGACTGAGCTAGAAAGGGCTGAGGGGAGTGCGTAAGGTATCATCATCAGAGTTTGTGGAGTAAATCAGTCGTTGTCAAGAAGTCAATGAGATAAAGGGAAATTAAACATTGGCTTTCATGTGATAATTTGTGCAGGCCTCATCTGATCGGCTTCTAGCCTTAACGACGATAACATTGGTCTCCAAATTTTGAGTATTTTGGGCTTCGAAAAAAAAAAAGCGTTTCACTTAAGGTTTTTAAGGTGCTGAAAACAAATAGGACCATAGTAACAACCGTGTAGATACTTATTTTCCATTTTTATTGGATAAATTATGATAGTTGTCATGCGATAACCTGTGAATGCCTTTACTGATTAGTTTCAGATCTTCAATGTTTATATTTAACTGCATTAGAAACTTATGTCGTACTTTGTACTATTTCTTTTGCACGTATTGCGGTAGCGTGAGCTGGGTTTCTGGGATACAGGAATACCTTTCTTGGATAGTGCAGCCACCACAGCACATCTGAGTAATGTTTAACAGGATTGCTGCAATATTAGAGAAAGACCTTGCTGTAGTCTGGTAGTATTGTTGGTGAGGGCCTCCCTGGCGTCCCTGGTCTCCAGCAGATGGTGCTGCACGGTAAGAGCCTCCTCCTCCAGTGTTTTTCTCTCCTTCTCACGCTCTGCCAGTAGGAGTCGCAGGCGTCGCTCCTCGCGTTCTGCAGGAGGTGCCTCGCTACCCTTCAGAATTAAATAAACTCAGTTTTGGTGCAAATTTAAAAAAAAAAATCTAGAAAACAATTACCTAAATTAAGTTGATTATTTAGCTTTGAAAAAATGGAATCAAGACAAGCAAATATATGATAAATTGTTAAAGACTCACCCCAGCGAGGTCCAGCACCTTGGCCAGCTCCTTGTTAAGCCTGTCGATGCAGCACTGGTTGGTGCTGATCTTCTCTTGCCCCTTCCTCAGATCTCCCTCATACCTGCGACACTCACAGAAATATTATATTAATCTACTTTCAAGAAACACTGTGTATAATGCAACACTGGGTAGTTGTAGAAAATACTGTATATATTTTCCAGAAATACGGTAATTTATAGGTAAATAGATGGCCTATACTGTAATAATATTGTCATAGAAAACGAAAGCCTGCGTCTGGGCAGGAGACTCGCCCATCTTGGTTTTGAATTTTGTACAAACGTTGGTGTAAATGGGAAGAATTTTTCGTGCTCTAGAGGTTAAAATTGTGTTGACACCTCTCAAATAGGAGGCGAAATTGGTGGATGTGCATTCCTGCATAACTTGAGATATCAGACGACTGGACAAGACAGCTCCAGGAACCTCAGATAAGCTCTCTAGATTTGTGTGTAATTCTGGCCAGCATTATTTTCATAGATTTAGTTAGAGTGAGGTTTTCTGAGTATGATACACAATCTCCAGTCAAATTGGTGAGTGATATTAAGATACATTTTCCTTCTGTTATGTAATTGTGTATACATATATTTTTTTTTTTTCAACAAGGTCGGCCGTCTCCACCGAGGCAGGGTGACCCAAAAAAGAAAGAAAATTCCCAAAAAGAAAATACTTTCACATCATCATTCAACACCTTCACCACACTCACACATTATCACTGTTTTTGCAGAGGTGCTCAGAATACAACAGTTTAGAAGCATACACATATAAAGATACACAACATACCCCTCCAAACTGCCAATATCCCAAACCCCTCCTTTAAAGTGCAGGCATTGTACTTCCCATTTCCAGGACTCAAGTCCGACTATATGAAAATAACCGGTTTCCCTGAATCCCTTCACTAAATATTACCCTGCTCACACTCCAACAGATCGTCAGGTCCCAAGTACCATTCGTCTCCATTCACTCCTAACACGCTCACAACACGCTTGCTGGAATATACAGTCCACAAATTTATAATATTTACCAGTATTCCTGGTGTATGTATATTTCATTTAATTAATAGGTCCAGAGCAACTTGTGGTTATGACAGTGGGAGGTATCGAAGGGGGACATTTTTTGCGACCTAGGTGTCCCAAATTCCTACTTGTCTATGTAACATTGATAAATAATAATTATCTTTGTTATCATTTACTGTTATGTACATAATTAGTTACAATTCAGATAAATGCAATTTTCCACAGTAGTCACGCTTTTCCATTCAGGCCTTTTTTTTTTTTTTTTAACTTTTTTAAATTCGCTAATCTACTGATACCATATTAATACTACAGTAGCTTGTGTATACTAAAGGTATATATCTTGTATTTGAGCTCAGTGTTAAATCCCCATTTGAATGATTAAAATAAGTTTTGTCATTAGTGCAAATGTAAATCACTGCTTTAAATGACCCACGTGCAGTCAATAGATATTAAATTCAAACTAAAGTAGCCATCATTATAACAAGTACCCGTTAGTTACCATTTTGTCCTAGGTACATGTCGATTAGACACCGTCAAGGGTATGCCTTGATTCTGGCGAAGATACATCAGCAGTGTGCTGCCTTACGCAGCTATTGAATATCTCCTGCACAAGCCTAGTCATTGATTAACTTGCCTATATGCAGGGTACACCTTGCGACGTACCTGGCGATATCTGCGTTGAGCTGGTCAACGAGTGTATTAATGGAGACCTTTGGTAGCAGTGTGGGAGCTAACAGCAGCTCGAGCATCTGAGGCCAGAGTGCTGCCTTAGTAGCGCTCTGTTCCCATTCAACCAGCTCATCCTCCTGTATCACACAGCCTAATAATATTCTGGAATACACCCTGTCATCATGTTTAAAATAAATCAATGTACGTATATGATATACAACAACAATGTATACATGATTAAAACTATTTTGAGTATATTAAAATATTATCATGATTAAAACAAATGTTTAGTAATAATACATTAATCTGTATGCTTAAACACCATAGTATGTATAATTTAAAAAACTGAGCATGATTTTGAAACAGCAAACTTTATATGATATTTACAACAACGCAGTGTTTGTGTAAGATAAACTATTCAAATACTACAATGTTACACTCATAAGTATTATTTATCCAGGTAATCTGTGAAACCATTAATAACCAAATATTTGCTTTGCCTTTTCCACGTTTCGTAAAGTCTAAGTAGTTTTATAAGTGCACCTTTTTCTTCGGAACACACGGTAGCCACACTTACTACTTGCGGCACTTGCTCTGGTGTCTACAACGCGCTTCCGCAGGTTGTGTGCGGCTCTGGATGCTGTGGTGTGCTCGCTGACTTTATCCAGGGCCAGGTCTTCCAATCTTCGGTACCGTTCCGTGGCCGTCTGCACCCGTCCATAGAGTCGCGATAGTACTCGCACCTCCTCCGCCATCTCCTGCAAGCAAAATTTAAGGAATAAATTACTATTATCCCCCAAGGCACTGTAAATGAGACATCTACCAGCCCTCTCTACTTTGTTCCGAATTAAGATTGCCTCCCCTTTCGACGGAAGATATTTCGTTATCCTCTGGAGCTCTTTTACACTGGTATTTTACAAGAATGGGACATGCATAATAAAGATATTAAACTAAACTGTGTGTGTGTGTGTGTGTGTACTCACCTATTTGTGGTTGCGTGTGTGTGTGTGTTGTGTGTGTGTGTGTGTGTGTTGTGTGTGTGTGTTGTGTGTGTGTGTGTGTGTGTGTGTGTGTGTGTGTGTGTGTGTGGTGCGTGAGTGTGAGTGGGGAGTGAGTGTGTGTGTGTGTGTGTGTGTGTACTCACCTTTTGTACTCACCTATTTGGGTTGCAGGGTCGATCCTAGCTCCTGGCCCCGCCTCTTCACCGGGTTTCTACTAGACCCCTCTCTCTCCCCGCTCCATGAGCTTTATCAAACCTCGTCTTAAAACTGTGTATGGTTCCTGCCTCCACTACGTCATTTTCTAGGCTATTCCACTGCCTTACAACTCTAAAGACTGAAAAAATACTTCCTACTATCTCTCTGACTCATTTGTGTCTTCAACTTCCAATTGTGGCCTCTTGTTTCTGTGTCCCCTTCCTGGAACATCCTGTCTTTTGTCCACCTTGTCTATTCCACGCAGTATTTTATATGTCGTTATCATGTCTCCCCTGACCCTCCTGTCCTCCATGTCGTCAGGCCGATTTCCCTTAATCTTTCTTCATAGGACATTCCCCTTAGCTCTGGAACTAACCTTGTCGCAAACCTTTGTACTTTCTCTAGTTTCTTGACGTGCTTATCAAGTGCGGGTTCCAAACAGGTGCTGCATACTCCAGTATGGGCCGGGACATACACGGTGTACAGTGTTCTTGAACGATTCCTTACTAAGGTATCGGAATGCCGTTCTCAGGTTTGCCAGGCGCCCATATGCTGCAGCAGTTATCTGATTGATTGTGCTTCCGGAGACATGCTCGGTGTTATACTCACCCCAAGATCTTTCTCCTTGAGTGAGGTTTGCAATCTTTGGCCACCTAGCCTATACTCTGTCTGTGGTCTTCTGTGCCCTTCCCCTATTTTCATGACTTTGCATTTGGCAGGATTAAATTCGAGAAGCCATTTGCTGGACCAGGTGTCCAGTTGTCCAGGTCTCTTTGAAGTCCTGCCTGGTCCTCATCAGATTTAATTCTCGTCATTAACTTCACATCATCTGCAAACAGGACACTTCTGAGTCTAACCCTTCCATCATGTCGTTCAAAATATACCAAAAATAGCACTGGTCTAGGACCGACCCCTGTGGGAACCCGCTTGTCACAGGTGCCCACTGTGATACATCATTACGTACCATGACTCGTTGTTGCCTCCCTGTCAGGTATTCTCTGATCCATTTGCAGTGCCCTTCCTGTTATTATGCGCCTGATGCTCTAGCTTCTGCACTAATCTCTTGTGAGGAAACTGTGTCAAAGGCCTTCTTGCAGTCCAAGATGATGCAATCAACCCACCCCTCTCTCTCGTGTCTTACTTCTGTTATTTTATCATAAAACTCCAGAAGGTTTGTGAACAGGATTTGCCTTCCGTGAACCCGTGCTGGTTGGCAATTTATACTCTTGTTCCGTTCCAGGTGCTCCACCACTCTCCTGATAATCTTCTCCATAATTTTGCATACTATACACGTCAATGACACAGGTCTATAGTTTAGTGCCTCTTTTCTGTCTCCTTTTTTAAAAATGGGAACTACATTTGCCGTCTTCCATACCTCAGGTAGTTGCCCAGTTTCCAGGGACGTGTTGAAGATTGTGGTAAGTGGCACGCACAACATATCTGCTCCCGCTCTAAGTACCCACGGGGAGATGTTGTCCGGTCCCATTGCCTTTGAGGTATCGATGTCCCTTAGCAGTTTCTTCACCTCCTCCTCGTCTGTATGTATGTCGTCCAACACTTGTTGGTGTATTCCTTGCTGGTGTCCCCATCTGGTCTGTCCCCCCAGAGTCCTTCCTGTCTCTACTGTAAATACTTCCTTAAATCTCGTGTTGAGCTCCTCACATACCTCTTGATCGTTTCTTGTGAGTTCTCCACCTTCTTTCCTCAGCCTTATCACCTGGTCCTTGACTGTTGTCTTCCTCCTAATGTGGCTATACAGCAGTTTCGGGTCAGATTTGACTTTCGATGCTATGTCGTTTTCATACTGTCGCTGGGCCTCCCTCCTTATCTGTGCATACTCGTTTCTGGCTCTTCTACTAATCTCCTTGTTTTCCTGGGTCCTATGCCTCCTGTACCTTTTCCATTCTCTGTTGCACTTAGTTTTTGCCTCCCTACACCTTCGGTAAACCAAGGACTCGTTTTGGTCTTCCTATTATTTCTGTTTCCCTTGGGAACAAAACTTTCCCTCTGCCTCCTTGCACTTTGTTGCCACATATTCCATCATCTCGTTTACTGATTTTCCTACCATTTCTCTGTCCCACTGAACCTCCTGCAGGAAGTTTCTCATACCTGTGTAGTCCCCCCTTTTATAGTTTGGCCTGTCCCCTTCAGTTCCTGTTACCTTCTCCACTTGTAACTCTACTATATAGTCAAAACTCAGAACCACGTGA